GTTAAGATCAGGGCTGACGGGTGGATGGGGCAAGGTTTCCCCATGAATCTAGAACTGCTCTTGCTGTCCTGGAGGAGTAAGTAGGTGCATTGTTATGATGGAAAACAATTCTTCAGTACAACATTCCTGGCCTTTCTCTCACCAATGAAGCATTCTGTATTCACAAAACTTACTTTTAATAAGCCCTGTAATCATCTTGTGGAGTTCTAATGTGGCGCTGTGGGTTAATGCACCAGACTGCAGAGCCCTTTGAACTCCCAGGTGGGTGGTTCAAGCTCACCAGTCGCTCTTTGGAAACCCTATACAAGGTCACTATGGTTCCTAACCAACTCGAAGGCATTTAACAAAAACAACAAACAATCATCCTGTATCATTTGAGGAAACCTATCAAAATTATCCCTTTGAATTTCTAAAAAACAGTTGCCGGTAATTTTCTCAGCTGACTTCTCTGCTTTGATATAAGTGACCCACCAGATCCTCTTTGAAACCACTGTTTTGGTTAGAGCTTGCTCTCTGAATCATATCTGTCAATTCAACATTAGTCCTCAATTAGCTTTGATCTTGTTTAAAAGACTGATGGAAAGAACAGCTCTTTGAGTTAGCTGATCTTTGTGTAGCTCTTTGGCACTCATTGAACTGAAAGTCTTGTTGAGCCCAAGATGTTTGCTTAAAATGTGAAATCCCAACTTTTGTAGCCATCGCATCTATGGTAAATCCCTGGTTTTCCACCAGTTTCTGGACTTCAGTCACAGTTTCTTCATTGATTGAGGATGACGGTCTTTCCTGAGGTCTTCCCCATCTTCCTTGAAACTCTTCTAAAAACTGTTGTTTTGTGTGGATTGTTGTTGTTGTTAAGTGCCGTCAAGTCGGTTCTGACCCATGGTGACCCTGTATAGGGTTTCTGAGGAGCAGCTGGTGAGCTTGAACCATGGACCTCATTCCCTTAAAATTGTTGCAAAGTTTCAATTATTGGGAAGATGTCTAGTTTTGTTAAAAAGTTGATATTAGTCCTTACCTCAAAATTCTCCTTACCTCCAAAGTCACAGAGAGTGACTTTTTTAAAAGGCACCCTAAAGATACTGGTATTAAGTGCCTCCATATATTGGTATAGTGGCCCTATGTAGGGTTTTCAAAGAGCCATTGGTGGGTTTGAACCACTGACCTATGGTTAGCAGGCCATTGCTTATTCTATAGTGTCACCCCAAGACTCCCTAGTGAGATTAAGACAAGTGTATTATATAGAGAGAAGGAACTCTGGTAGCGTAGTAGTTACGAATTGGGCTGCAAACCTCAAGGTCAGCAGTTCGAAACTACCAACTGTCCACAGGAGAAAGATGAGGCTTTCTGCTCCCGTAAAGATTTATAGCCTCAGAAACCCTGTGCAGGGTTGCTATGAGTCGGAACCGACTCCATGGCACATAACAACAAAAACAACAATTATAGAGAGAACTTTTTTGCAACCACCAACTGATTGCAGAAATCTATTTAAACATGTTTTGTTTGGAATTTATTGTTAAGTGTTGTCAAGTCGCTTCTGACTCAGAGCAATCCCATATAGGGTTCCCAAGGAGTGGCTGGTGAGTTTGAACCATCAACCTTGTGGTTTAAACTGACCTTATGGTCGAGTGCTTATCCTCCAGCGTCACACCAGGACCTGTGCATATAAGAAGTATAGCCGTAGTAGCAATACTGTGTTATTTTTTTTTTCACCTTATTCCTCTTTACAGTTTCATTCTTATTTATTACTTGCACTCTGTAGATGTGTTGCGTGCTGGATATTTGTTGCTCTGACCAGATGCTGGATCACAATCAGAATAAATATGTGTAATGTCAAAGCACTTGTGTTAATCAGCACGAATCTGGAAGTAGTATGTTGTTGTTAAGTGACATTGAGTCGGTTCTGACTCAAGGCAACCCTGTATAGGGTTTCCGAGGAGTGGTTGGTTTGAACCGACAACCTTGCAGCTCAAACCAACCTTGAAATCGAGTGCTTATCCTACAGTGCCACACCAGGACGCCAGGAAATAATGTGGAACATCAGTAACCCTGCTTTTTAAAATATTCTCTTTCTTGGGTCTGATTCCCTTTAGGTAGTTTTTAAAAGACTGTATAGTGGTTTGGTGAACTTACTGGCTGCTTGTTTTTCTAATCAGCTTTTATTTTCCAGGCCCATTTTTCAAGAGGACTTGAAAATTAATTGCTGATAATCAAGGTACTAATTTATTTAAAAACTTTTTCTATTTGAGTGGCATGGTACACTTTTTTTTTTTTTTTAAGCTTTTATTGTGAATTGAGTGATAATTGACGTAAGAGAACATTGGTTTTACACTCATCCTCTCATATTTTGTTTCACTGCAGTGGTTATAATCCCCTCACAAGCTACACATTTGAATGTGCAGAATAGTTGCCTATTTTCTTAGTAGTTTTCCCGCCATTATTTCATGGAAGCATCATGATCTCTAAATCCAAGAGACATTTTCATTTTACTCAAGCCTGTCACCTCCATTCAGTGCTTGGCATGCTCTCTTCCTTTGCCTTCTGTGAGCCACTGTGATTGTCTCCTTCATTGTTGCATGCTTATTGGCCTCCCTCGGACGCTGGCGTTCCTCTGCCTGGCACTGGGATTTGGATTACTTAAGGATTGATCCTGTACCCTCTCCTCTTTTAACTCTTACTGTTTTTCTCCTTTTTTCTGGGTGATCTAACCTAGCCCTATCCCTTCAGTTACCAGCTGTGTATAGACTCCTGTCTTCAGTATAAACTTTAAAAAATTCTGCTAAGATTGATTTCTTGGTATCTTGAATATCGCATAGTTCTTCCAAGCTCGTTTTTTCTAAACGTCTCCTTTCTAGTTGGTCTTCTTCTGGTGTTTTCTGTCTAGACACTCAAGTTAAGAGCCTAGAAGTCATTTTTGGCACCTCCATTTTACTGTCGATATTTAATTTGAAGATCACTCTGTCTTCTGTCTCATTATATCTTATTTATTATATACATTATTTAACGTATGTACTTCTCTTTATCACTACCACCGTAATCCAAGCTATCTTCTCTAAAATTGATGAATACAGTAGTATCTAAATGCTATATGTTTTAATAGTTAGTTATATGATTCACCTTGGTACCCTGTTACAATGCAGAATCTGACTCATTAAGCTTGGGGTGCAGCCTGAGAGTCTGCATGTTCCAAGTGATACTGCTGGGGGAACAGGCTTTGAGTAATTTATGGTCCTGGTGTTCCTCCATTGTGTGTTTTTTTAAAGGTTTTTATTGTGGATTGAGTGAAAGTTTACAGGGCAGATCATCAGTTTTACATTCAACAAATCATACATCTTGTTTCATTACAATGATTATAATCCCCTCCATATACCATTAGTTAACAGTATTTCTCTCTATTCATTTTAGCTCTTTTTTTTTAAACACTCAGGCATATATAATAATTTACACCACCAAAGGGCACCTTCTGCCAGTCTGCCTCCTGGCCACCAGCTCTCAGTCCCTCTCTTCCCATGAATCTAGAGTCCTCAGCTGCTCCCTCTCTCCATGTCCCCATCTCTGCCTCCATATCTGTTATCGCTGCTTCTCTGGATAAGGTCTTTCATTCTGCTGTGCTCTTCTGTTTTGATGGTCCTAGGGTCCTTTGTTTCTGGACTGTAAGATTAACCACTCCCCTGTTTTTGCTATAAAACCTCTACCTTTACAATTGTGAGAGTGACAATTAGTCATGATAACAATTACTCAGTATTGAATCGAAAGAATCTTATTCCCATCTCTTTTTGCCAGACCCATCTAGACAAGATGAAAACTATTCAGTGGGGACTCTCTAAACTTCCCCTTGAAACCTTGTAAGCCAGTCACTTAGTGCCTTTATCACCCCTTCATTTTAGGTAGCCAATGTCTAAGTTGCCTGTCCTTATCTGCCCTGTGTACAGAGGCGATAGTGTTGATATTTGATGTGAAGACTCCTTCCCTCTCTGTTGGTATTTAGAGCTCCTGCCTCCTTGAGTATAGGTTAAGTTCATCAAATTGTAGCAATTTACTCTTGTTTCCTATATCAAAAATAGTTTTGTTCTTTTTTTTTTTTAATCTTCCCCTAGTTGAGTTCTGATTATCAAGCCATTGTGGCTAGGTGGAATGGGTACAGTCTTCACCTTTGGATGTTGTTCTTCCAGTGTATTTGTAACCCCACAGTCTGTGACAGCTTTTCAAACCACAGTTTGACTACTTTACTCCTGTCATGGTTTCCTGTCACTCTTTGGGTGAGGATTATGAGTCTGTATACATAAGAATCACTTGGGGATCTTGTTAAAATGTAGATTTTGATTCAGCATATCTGGGGTGACAAAGTAAATTCTCTGCAGGGCATCAAACTAGAAAGAACTAACTTGAGTCTCTGAATAAGAGCCACGGGTGTCAGAACAGTGGGTATTTCTCAGGCGTGTTAGTAGAATTATCTGGGCAGGATTTACATCTTCATGTCTGCATTTCACTCTTAGGGAGATTCTGATATTACCAAAGTTCCCCTAATAACCCACCTATGTAAAGAACCCTTTTTCTAAGATGGTGTATCGTCCGCTTTATTTTCATCATTTTCAGTATCTCTTCTTGGACGGACTGTTTTTATTGCTTTTCTCATACAAAATTTTGTTTTCTTTTGGGTGACTTAGTTTGATCCTATTGCTCTATTTAAGTATTACTTTGCTTTCCTTTACAGTTGTGGCAATTAGTTATGATAACAGTTGTTGTTGTTGTTATGTGCCGTGGAGTCGGTTCTGATTCAAAGTGACCCTGCACAGGGTTTCTGAGGCTGTAAATCTTTACGGGAGCAGAGAGCCTCATCTTTCTCCCGCAAAACAGCTAGTAGTTTCGAACTGCTGATCTTGCAGTTCACAGCCTGATATGTAACCATTACACTACCAAAGCTCATTATGATAACAGTTACTCACTATTAAATCAAAAGAATCCCATTCCTATCTTCTTTTACCAGACCCATCTTAGACAAGATGGAAACTATTAAGTGGGGATTCTACCTTTCCTGCTCGCTCTGAAACTAAACTCCCTCATGAAAACTTGTAAGTTAGCCATTTTGTTCCTTTATAGCATCCCTATTTTAGGTATCCAGCACTTTATTTTTTTAACCAAAATTATTTTACCTATTCCAGTTGTTTTGCCTTTTTATATAAAGTTTAAAGTTACCTTGGATAATCTCAAAAATGGCACTGGGATTTTTATTCAGATTGCATTGCATTTTGTTGTTAAGTGCCATCAAGTAAATTCTGACCCACAGCAACCATGTATAGGGTTTCCAAAGAGTGGCTGGTGAGCTTGAACCACCAACCTTGTGGTTCAAACTGACTTTACAATCCAGCGCATTAACCCACAGCACCACACCAAGACTCTGGAATTGCATCAGACTTGTAGTTATATGGGGAGAATTGATATCTTTGCTATCTATGAACATAATATATCACTTCATTTCTTTAGATCTTCTCTGGTTTCTTCCCTCAGTGTTGTGTAGTTTTCATTATATAAATCTGTACATGTTTTGTTAGATTTATAGATATTATATGTACTTATGCAGAAAGATGGGGCTTTCTGCTCTTGTAAAGATTTATAGCCTTAGAAACCCTGTGCAGGGTCACTATGAGTTAGAACCAACTCCATGGTACTTAACAACCACAACATGCATATATATATGCATGTATATATAGTCCTGGTGTGGAGCTGTGTGTTATCGCACTGGTTGGTTTGAACCTCAAGGTTGGCGGTTTAAGGTCACCAGCAACTCCTTTGAAACCCTACCCAGTGTAGCTATGGGTCAGAACCAACTCGATGGCACATCAACAGCATGTATGTGCGTACTTAATTTTGTTTGAATAACTACAAATGCTATGTTGTATTTTTAATTTCAGTACCCACTTGTGAATTACTAGTATGTAGAAATATGGCATCTCCGGTGACATTGCTCCTTGCTGAATTCCTTAGATCTAGGAGATTTTATTTTTATGTATATTTGTTGGAGATTTTCTACAGGTACAGTAATGACATTTGCAAAAGGGACAGTTTTATCTCTTCTAAGCTGTGTGTAGTTTCCTTTCTTGCCTTACTGTGCTAGTTCAGTTTCCCATTGCTGTGGTGAGTAAAGGGAGCCCTGGTAGTGTTGTGGGTTACGCATTTGACTGCAGTTTGAATCTGCCAGCCGCTCCTCGGGAGAAAGATGAGGCATTTTGCTCTTGGAAGGATGTCTAGCCTCAGTGACTTTATACAGGGTTTAAAGCACACAGCAGCAGCAGCGGTGCTGAATAAAAATAGTGAGAGCTGACACTGTTGCCTTGTTTCCAGTCTTAGGAGGGTATCATTCAGTCTTTCACTATTAAGTATAGGATTGGCTATTTTTGCAGATGCTTGTTATTAAATTATAAATGCTTGTTATTCAAGTTATTCCTGTTTTTTTAACATCATGAATGAATGTTAAATTTTGCCAAATACCTTTTCTGCATCAGTTGGTATGATCATGTGATTTTTCCTTGGCCTGTTAATGCAATGTATTGTGTTGATTGGTTTTCAAATATTAAAACAGCCCTTGTTCCTGTAACAGACTCCACTTCATTGTGTATGATTCTTTTCATATATTGCTGAGTTCTAGTAATATTTTGTTAAGGTGTTTTATTTATATACAGTTGTCAAATATTAAGCTGAAGATTTCTTTTTATGGATGGTATCCAGTGATACCCTAAAACCATAGCAAACTCACTTGCTGTTGTGCTGATTCATACTCACAGTGACCCTATAGAGAGTTTTTAGACTAAATCTCTATGGGAGTGGACAGCGCCATCTTCTGTGGAGTGGCTGGTGGGTTTGAACTGCTCATCTTTCTGTTAGCAGTTCAGTGCTTATCCTACAGTGCTACCAAGGTTAGGATGATACTGTTGTTGTTGTTAAGTGCCATCAAGTCGGTTCCAACTCATAGTGACCCTGTATAGGATGTCCAAGGAGCACGTGGGGGGCTTGAACTGCTGATCTTAAGGTTTGGAGTCAAGTGCCGATCCTACAGCGCCACATCAGGAGTCCTGTGGTGATACTAACTTCATAAAAATGAATTGAGAACCATTCCTTTCTTTTCTTCTTTCCTTGAAGAGGTTGTGTAGAACTGGTATTCTTTTTTTTAGAAATAAAATTGTTGATTTGTAACGATTTGTTTAATTGGTAATGCCACTAGAATAAGAAGAAACCTGTAAATTAAACTGTGACCCATGTTAATTTTTTCTGAGAAAACCGTTGTGATACGATAATTTCATGAGATGTATTGATGGCAAAGAAGATAATTTCATGAGCTGTATTGATGGCCAAAATATAATTGATGTTGTTATTAAGTGCCATTGAGTTGGCTCTGACCCATAGTGACCCTGAACAGGGTTTCCGAGGCTGTAAATCTTTATGGGAACAGAAAGCCTCATCTTTCTCCTGTGGAGCAGCTGGTAGTTTCGAATTGCTGACCTTGAGGTACGCAGCTCGATTCGTAACCACTATGCTACCAGAGCACCTTCAAATATATTAGCTACTGCACAGTTCAGATTGGATCATTCAATTGTTGGCAGGCTGCATGACCAGAGGTTTTTGTTCATGCTTTTTGGATGGCAATATTCAGTATTAGTTATTTTTTTACACATTTGATAGAGTTCTCTAGTGAAACAATTTGGGCTTGAAGGTTTCTTTCTTTTTTTGAAAGGGGAGTTTTAAACTTTCAAATTCGATTTCCTTAATAGATACATAATTATTCAAATTATGTTTCATATGGAGTGAGTAGTTGAGCTTGTGTTGTTCAGGAACTATGTTTTTTTGTGGGGAGGGTATACAGGGTCTATGGTGTGGCGCTGTAGGATAAAGCACTGGACTGCAAGGTTGGTTTGAACCACAAGGTGGTTTCAGTTCAAACTCACTAGCCTCACCTTGGAAACCCTATATAAGGTCGCTGTAAGTCAAAACTGACTTGATGGCACATAGCAACAACATCAGTGGCTATACTGATGGTACATGTTATTCATGATATTAGCTACTCTTTTTTTTCTTGTCAGTATTACTGGAAGTATTTCAATTTTATTGATCATTTCAAAGAATTAAGCTTTTTTGTTTCATTAATTTTTCTCTACTTGGTTTTTATTTTCATTGATTTTTTTCTCGTTTTCAAGAAAATCATTGATTTTTCTCTCTATATTTTTTTAATGTTCTCATTTTCATTGATTTTTGCCTCTAGTTGTTTTGGGACTATTTGCTCACCTTTTTCTAGCTTCTTGAGGTATGAGCATGATTTATTTGAGAGTTAGCCTCTTTTCTAATGTATGTATTTAGTGTTATAAATGTTCCTCCTAGTGCTGTTTTGAGTGCTGGTCACATAGTGGCTTATGCATTGGACTTCTGTCCACAAGGTCAGCAGTTCAAATCCACCAGCCACTCTTCACAAGAAACATAAGGTTTTTTGCTCCTGTAAAGATTTACAGCCTCAGAAACACTATATAGGGTCTATATAGTGTGAGTTGGCACCGACTTAAACACATACAACAAGAAGCATTATTTTAGCTGTGTCCCATAAATTTTGATATGTAATTTTTCTTTTATTCAGTTCAGGTTATTATTTTCCACTTGAGAACTTCCTCTTTGAACTGTAAATTATGTAGAAGTAGTTTAACATCAACTTTTTGGAGGTTTTCTTCTTTTTCTGTTACCTGATTTCTCGTGTGATTCTAATGTTGGCAAATACATTCTGTATGATTTCAGTTGTCTTAAATTTATTGAGGTTTGTTATATAGTCATATGTTGATACATGTTCTCTGGACACTTGAGAAGAATATGTATTCTGCTTTGGTTGGGTGGAGTGTTCTGTTACTGTGTTAATTAGATCTTAGTGGCTGATGATGTCATTGAGTTTTGTAACCATGCTGATTTTCTGTTTAGTACTATCAGTCTACAGTACTTTAATAACCACTATCAACTGGTGTAAGGAGCTCTGGTAGCGTAGTGGTTACGAATAGGGCTGCAAACTGCAAGGTCAGCAGTTTAAAACTACTAGCTGCTCTGTAGGAGAAAGATGAGGCTTTCTGCTCCCGTAAAGATTTACAGCCTCGGAAACCCTGTTTGGGGTCGCTATGGGTCAGAACCGAATCGACGGCACTTAACAACAACAACATCAACTGCTGTGAGGGAGATGCTCAAGCCTCCAATTCTAATTGTGAATTTGTGTTTTTCCTTTCAGTTCTGTTAGTTATTGCTGTATATATTTTGGATCTGTATGATTGGATGCATATACAATTTAGACTTGCTATATTTTCTTGGGGAGTCCAGAGATAAACATTGGACAACAAGGTTGCTGGTTTAAACTCACCAGCTGCTTGCCAGAAACCCTATCTACAGGGTCACTAAGAGTCAGAATGTACTCATTGACATTTAACAACAAAATGTCTTCTTGGAAGATTAACCTTTTTGTTAATACATAATGTTTCTCTCTGCTACTGGTAATTTTCTTTACTGTGAAGTCTACTGTATCTGGCATTAACATAACTACTCCTGTTTACCTTTAATTAATATGTATGTGCTACAGGTTTTCCAATCTTTTATTTTCAACTTCCTATATTTTGAGATTCTTAAAGACAGCATATAGTTAGTTGGGTTATGTTTTTTGAACTATTATCAGTTCCTGTCATTTAATTAGTATTCTTAGACGATTTATTTGCATTTAATGTAATTATTGATGTTAAGGATAAGTCTATGGTTTTATTTCCATTTTCTGTTGTTTTGTGTTTTCTGCCTTGTGGATTCCTTGAACATATTCTAGACCTTCATTTTGATTTACTTACTGAGTGTATGTCTTTTACAACATCTTTAACAATTGCTCTAGGTATCATTGACATGTGCATAACTAGTCTCAGTTTACTAGTGTCCTCATTTGATTAGTTCAGATGAAGTATAGAAGCCTTTTGTTCATTTATGTCCGTTTTTTCCGTCTCCCATTTGTAGTATATTTGTCTTAAATATTTATTCTCTATATTTAGAGCCACAGCAGACACTTTTGTAGTTTTTGTTCCAACCATCAAACTTGTTTACAAAGCTCAAGAAAAGAAGGAAAGCCGTTTCAACTTACATTTAGCTTATCTTGTGCTTTCATTTTTCTGATATTACACATTTCCTGGTTTGTTGTTTCCTTTCTCTTTGGAGAATTTTCTCTAGCTATGGTTTTAGAATAAGTCTCCTAGTGAAAACTTTTTCATTTTCTTCATTTGAAAATATGTTGATTTCCCCATTAGTCCCAAAGGAAATTTTCTCTGGGTGTAAGATTTTGGGTTGACCGTTTTTATTTAAAACTTAAAAATGTGCCACTTTCTCTTGCCCTATATGATTTATGATGAGAACTATACTGATTTTATAGTTGATGCTATGTTAAGCACATTTTCTGAGTGCCTGAAGCCTGTATTCTTTGTTACTTTTTTAGAGAAAAAGTTGGTAGATGGTAGAAAAGATGCCATCTGCATCCTGTGACGCACTGCTGGATGACATAGAAGATATCGTGACACAGGGTGACTCAAAGCCACAGGACAGGCATTTTGCCAGAAGGCATGTTATTCCAAAGGTTCGAAAACGAAATACCCAGATGTGTTTGCCAGAGGAAAACAACCCACCAAGTGACAGGTAAGCTTTTGTCACTGAAATTATATTCATTTTCATGCCAGATGCTACTGGTCTATGTGACATGCATAATATCTCTTTTTAAAATCTTTTGACCTTTTTTTGAAAATAAATCCGTAATTTTATTGATTTACTTTTTAATAAGTTTAAATTCTTGAGGGGCACAGCATCACATGGATTCTGAGTCAAATGGCCTTAGCAAGAAGGTTGCTTCGGAATTTGGCACAAACCATACCATTTCCATGGGCGTGAGTTAACCCTCCCCTAGATTTACTCTAGTTTTGTTAGATTTCCTGCCAGAAGACACTGAGTCGTTATTTGCTTTGTACATATAAGCATGTCGATGGCACTTAACAACAACAACAACAACTTGCCTAAATAGAATTTGGTTTCGTCTCGAGCATGTTGTTGTTATTGTTAGGTTCCATCGAGTTGGTACTGACTCATAGTGACCCTATGAACAACAGAACGAAATACTGCCCGATCCTGGACCAACCTCACAATTGTTGACACGCTTGAGCCCATTGATGCTGCTACTTGGCCAATTCTTCTCACTGGGGGTAGTCCTGTTTTTCTCTGACCCTCCACCTTATCAAACATGATATCCTTCTCCAGCGACTGGTCTCTCCTGACAATGTGTTCAAGTATGAGAGACGAAGTTTGGCCATCCTGATCTCCAAGGAGCACTCTGGCTGCACTTCTTCCAACACAGATCTGTTGGTTCTTTTGGCAGCCATGACACTTCAATATTCTCCTTCAACACCATAACTCAAAAGCATCAATTCTTCTATGGTCTCCCATATTCACTGTCCAGCTTTCGCATGTTTCTCTACTATACACACCATTAATTATAAGAAGAGCTGTATGCTCCTTTTG